ACAGAGCAGAGACTGTTTTTTGTAATCCAGTATTTGATGAATCCTGGTTCTTCACAAATATTTACTAAACAATTGAATAAAGTAAAATACATAAAAAAACAAGTTAAAAGAAGACTGTGAAAGATCAAAAGACATTAATAGACTAAGAAGCAAGAGAACATTGAAAAATAAGAAAGAAATTATGCAAAATGTCACAATATGAAAGCAACAGATAGACAAGAGGCAAAATATATATATGAGTGGAAGGAAAAAAGAGAGATGGGTAAATTTAAACATATAGGCTACCTTCTGATTTCTGTAAAGAACAAGGCAGAGGGACTAGAAGTTCTAAAAGTGGGAAAGATGCAGAACAGCTAGCGCTAACCATCGTATACTGCCAGAAGCAGAGATGGGACAGATCGCTGATGTGGTTCAGAAGCTCTGGCATTACCTGGTATCTTATTAGAAAAGCAGCACATTGGGCCACACCCTGACCTAGTGAATACACATATGCATTTTAAGAAGATCCCCAGATGATTCTTTACATAGCAAGGTGAGAAGCACTGGTGTAGATATCCAAAATCTATAGATAACAACCACATGTGTTCCGATCAACGGTGTATTACACAAAGCACTGGCAGTAAGGAGCCACACAGCGTTGGGCAATTCTCTTACTGTCCCTGGATCTCAGTTTTTTGTTCATTAGATGAGAAGGTGAGAGGAGATGTTTTCCAAAGCATCACAGAGCTTGAAACCTTGGCTCTCATCTAACGGTGTAATTTCACCCTTCCCTACACTCACCGGACCAGGCAACATCAGTGACTAATGAATACTGTGCTTCTTTCTCTGTTCGTTCACTTAATATTTTCCAAGTATCTATCACGTACCAGTCACTGTGCTAAGCACAAATAATTCTAAGATGAGTAAAATATCTCTCCCTGTCTTTGAGGAGCTCGTGAACTTTTCAGTGAAACAGGGCACACCAATAAAATTAGTGCATTGAGAAGTACCAACACATGCTGGAAGACTATAAAAGGCAGAACAATCTCCCCGGTTGGGTCAGCCATGGAGAATTTCCATAAATGGACAATATGCACAGGGCCCCTTTACTGCCAGCCTTGGCTGACAGTGCTAGAAAATGAAAAGGTAAAAAAGTAAGATGGTGGAAGAACGTCAAGAAAGCAACCAAAGGTCCAGAACACACCTCCGTGGTTCACAAAGCCCCACTAGTTCATCCACCCAGTGGATTTTGTGCAATGGTCACAGACATTCAATCAGCAGCCACAGGTGGCCCTGGAAACCCACTCCTCTGAGTTATGCGTGCTCCCTCTACTGACCACATTCTGTTCTTCCACATTCAGCCTCCTGCTGGAAGAGAATATCAATTTAACCACTCTCCCCAGAGACTTCTTCGTGTGGTTGAAAGAGGAGATGCACTTTAATAAATGGAAACAATTCATTAGACCATTAACTCACTTGATATATATTTATTTCCAGAGAAAGACTCTGCTAGTATCCAATCATGGGCACAGTAACCGAAACTGAAGATACAGTTTGTGGAAAGGAAGAAATTTCTAGAATTATCAATGGTGTGTAGAATGGTATTGAGGAGAAGGAAAAGCTTACATTTTCTGGCTTATCCACTCTTGACCCCGCCTCAATGACATGGTCTGCCACTGGTGATGAGTGGTCCCATCAGCCCTGCCTGCCTTACAGAAAAGAAGGTGATCATTCACATCAGCCATTTTCCAACCTGTGCAATGGTGAAGTCAAGTGTGGCTTCTTTCTCTTCCCTGTCTTCTGGATACCAGTTTGGGCTATAGTTTCTTCACATACAACTTGTCCTATCTCCTGCCTCCTTTATTTCATGGCATAAATATTAATTTGGGATCATCCTGTTAATACTGGTGAATATGTCCCTTCCATTTGATTTTTGAAGAAGAAAAGGGGAATTCGTCATAGGCATGGAGGAAAAGAATGTTTTACACCAGAATGACGCACCCCCAGGCTATATCCATTTGACCCTGTTTCTCCCTGTCAGACATCCCTCACTTCAACCAGTTTTAGTCCCTGGCCCTCCCTCTCGGCACAAGGCCAGGTGCAGATATGTGAATATCAAGACACACAGGGAAGGTTTCTGAAGTCGTCTTGGGAGGAGGTAAAGCAGAAAGACAAAATCAAAGTCCTTGCTGTGTATCGCTCCCCCATAAGAACTTGCCCTTTTCAATATGCCTTTTAAAAGAGTGCCAGGTGTGCAAAATGACGACTAGAGGAATTTTTCTCTTTCCCCTCTTTTCCTGTCATTTTCTTTCTTTCTTCTCTCCACCTGAAACTAAGCTTCACGGAAATCACATATATAAAATATCAAAACAAGTCTCTGCAGGCAGACAGGTTTCCTAAAGCTAAACCAATGGGAGAGTGAAATTAAATAATTTATTAACACACCCTGCACCTCTCCTGCACATCAACATCTGTGCCTACACTGCCACATCATTGTGTGTGCACAAATCCACCACATCTCGCCACACCTGGAACACAGAGACAGAAGATAACCACATGGTCCTGCTTCTCTTGAAAGTCACCCCTTTAGCATCTTTCACTCTGTTTTCTGAAGAATTCTTTACTTTCTATTTTGTAATTGCACACACAGAGGCTCCTCGATTGAAATTAGATTTGCTTTTTCCCTACCAGCAGCCACATTACTTTCCCATGCACCCCACACTGTAAGGGGGTGGCAAGAGGAGAGAAGACAAAATAGAACCTCGTCAGCTGTTAGGGAAACCTGTTAGGGAAAAAGAGGAAGAAAATAATGGTCTGAAGATGGCCCAGAATGCCACTGAGTCACAATCTTGTGGACACTGCTGACAAGGATGGGGAACAGCTACCTCCTCACCAGGGTCTACAAAACGGCTTTGAATGTCAAAATAGGTACGGACCACCTGTGGCAATACCCCCTCAGATCTCAAGGAAACTGTTCCAGTTGGGCCATCTTTCTTTATGGCTATCTCACCCTTGCCCGTCTTTCATCAGTGTCCTCTGATGTCTTTCAACAGCTCCTCCTTTGCTTAGTCTTTGGGTCAACTAATGATAGCCTGGAACTTGGGTTACTCCGATCGACATTCAAGACAAATGAGGGGAAGGAGATCCTGTCAAAAGGATTTCTTGTTGACCTCAGTGACAATGAGCCTTCTGAAGGCTCTATCTGGTGCAAAGCACTGTCACAGGCACCAGGCACAGGAAAGAGGCCATGTGCCCTGTGGATACTCATCTCCCTTTGTCCATCTGCATGTATGAAATCATTGCACAAGGAGCTGCTTCTCCCACCCATTCTTCTGTTCTATTTTGAAGTGAAATTAAGAGTTCATCCTCCCACTTGAAGAAGCAGAAGCAGATGGGGAACCAGCTCAGGTGTCTCTAAGGTGAGCACACACCCGATAACCTCAGTTATTTGTAGACATGGTGAGAACATGGTTCAAATCAGGATCCCCCACTCTCTTTCTCTGATTACACCATGATTACAGATTAGTGTTCCAGCAATAAAAGCTCCAAAGAATGAAACCTAAGGAGAGGGGCCTTGAATTTGGATGACATCCATCCATTCTGGACAATAAAGAGCTATCATCTACTGTCAGGTTGAGGGACAAGGACCTTCCAACATTTCCCTCACGGCCCTTTAGCATTTTGGGACTGTTTCAAAAAACTGTAATTTTTTTAAATGCCAGGGGCAAAAAGCATTCTGTGGGCAAAGGGAATACTTTTAGGAATATTATTGATGCTAATGATTTCGCTATATATTTTTGAAGACCTTTATCTCAATCTAATCCCTGCATTTATTTCCGTGCCTTCAGAGTTTGGGGATTTATGGTCAGTGGAACAAGAAGATGAGCAGTTCACTCATTACCATGGTGCTCCAGCCCATAGATGATCTGATTTTGTCAAGAGTTGCCTCAGATTGCCTGAGTGGCTAGCAGAAGAGTCATTTGCAAGTCTTGTCCATTTCTACAGCTCTTTTTCTTTGTAAGTACATTAAAATATGTGCTTAACCACACTTCACATAGTATAAAAATTACTGAGGAGGGAAAAATTAAAATATTAATTCTGATTTTGAGGGTACAAGACTAACACATGCAAACAGCACATCTCTTTGTTTAACACAAAGACTCACGTGTCGGATTCTGCACCCCTTCCACATGCAAAGCATTTTAGAACTCTGCAAGATAGCCATTTTGCAAGAGTGTGGAAGTAACAGTTTGCTTGGAGGATGTGTGGGTATAAATAGATGTGTAGACAGAAGGAGAAATTTACAGCTCAAAAATAATAGCACACAGGAAAAAAATACAAATGAAAAGCAGAATATTGGCAGGATTCTTTCCTTCCAAGCTTAAGGTTTAAGCCCTCCTAACCTGCAGCACCCTTCAATTCCAGGTGTTCTCAGACCAGCCCCATTCCCTGCACACACCTGCCCCCTCTGCAATAGGCCTCCCGGGATCTCCGGGCCCGTGTCAACCCTTCAGACAGCAAGTAGATTTCAGGGCAACAATCACAGTAATCTTGATCATTATTTTTATTTTTTTAAAGGACACAGGGATGCCTAGAAAGGTAAAGACAGAAAACAGAGAGAGAAGCACGAACATGGCAAGAGGGAAAATAATAATTCTAGATTCCATAAAAATCATAGCTTTAGCTCTAAGTGAATAAAATGCTATTTAACTAGAAAATCACACAGGTCTCCCGGCTGGCTGTGTCTGTATATAGACACCCCTTAATGCCCCCCAACATCTTCTGTGCCTGCATATACCCACCCCCACTGCTCCCCTGAAAACCCAAAACCTGTTTGATGGAGAAGGGAAAGAAATAACATGGGAGGTTTCCCTCATTGTAATAAGCCTTTTTCCCAAGACAGCATTATTTTGATATCTTGTTATCTTTTCTCCCAAAAAGATCCACTTGAGGCACTGGAAGAGACAAAACAAGAAATCTCTACCGCAGCTGAGGAAAAAAGAAAATAGAATTTGCCCTACCTTGGTTTGTAGAAGCCAAACCTCTAGACGGACAGATTAAGGGAGTGAGCATGTTGGGAATGTCCAGTCTCCTCTTCTCGCTTGCATATCCACATAAGAAAGATGAAGGATAAATGAACAGAAGGTAATTTAAAATCCAATTTAGCGTAAATTTTGTTTTAATCTTGTGTCTTGAAGAGATGCAAATTCAAACAAAAAAGGATTTAATTCAAAGGTAATTCAGGGTATGGAGAGCAGCTCACAATGCAGAATCCAGAGTAATTATTCCGTTTGCATGTGAGGTTAGTGGCTGGCACTGTATATATTATAAGGATTCTTCAGGCAATTATGGTTTTTGATTTTTGGAGCTTTAGTGGAGGAGGCTCAGTGTAGAGAAGCTGGGGGCCGGCTCCGTCCCTCCGTGGAGCATGGTCATTCCCAAAGCGTCCCCTTCCTAAGGGGAAAAAAGAAGCGGTCAGGGTTTGGTTCCAGTGTCCCCCGGAGGGTGAGAAAAATGCATTCCGAAAAAGATATCAATTCGTTATATGGGGAAGGGGGAGGAAACCCCGCATTTCCCACAGAGTGCACGAGAGGAATTGCAAACAGCTGGCACCAATCTATAAATAATTCAGAAAAGGTCTGGCTATACCATTCCTGGGACAGGCATGCATGAGAGGTGGGAAAACCAACCTGACAGGAAAAGGGGAAAGAAAAGGAGCTGGCAAAGGAGGCAAGTGGAAAGAAAGGGAGGGTAGGAAAGGAGACACCACACATTCACACACACGCACACGCACGCACACGCACACACGCGCAGAAACACAAGCCCCACTTAACTCGCCAGCAAGTGCGGCCCCCAGCCCCATCTGCATTGCTGCTGACATGTCTGTCTCGCTCTGCCCAGCTCCTCCAGCAGCAGCGCCTCCTCCCACCTTGGGCTCGTGCTGAATGGGTTCCGATTGTGCACGGGGTGCACACTGGGCATTTCTTGGAAGGGGCACACTGACACGCGCGCGCACACACGCCCCCGACGCGCACGCGCCCCCGCGCGCACTCACACTCACCTCCGCGCACACTCACCCCCGCGCACACTCACGCCGCCGCCGCCGCCGCCGCCGCCGCGCTGATGTGCAGCGCACTGGGCTTCACCTGCAACGTGTCGATTGGACGGATGGTCGCGGCGCGTGGCTCCCGCCCCAGCACCGCTGCCCAACCTCTCGGCGCGGCGAGGGGCTCAACCCCCTCCAAAAGACCAAAGCCAGCCTGCCCCCGCCCCCCAAAGCCTTAAGAACAAAAAGCCACGTCCAAATTAGCAAGTGCCGCGTTCTGATGGATTTAGAGCTTTACCTAACACCAGGTTGGTTAACGGGTCCACTGCTTCGACCCTTTATCTGCTTGACAACCCCAAACCCCAAAATCCAGAAGAGAGACTCCACAGCAAGGATTTACGCACCGGCTCTGAGCGTCTCCGCGGGTGCAGAGTCTCCGGAGAGCCGTGGCCGGTGGCGTGGGGGACTGAGGGTTTTCTTTCTCTGCAAGCAGGATTAATGATCCGTCTCGGGGGGTTTGAAGTTCACGACTCTTCTTTGCAAAGCAAAAGGAAAATGCATTTGGACGCCAGCACTTCTGGGTTGCGGTGATCGAGAATCACCCAGAGGAGCACTTTCGGTAGAGCGGAGCGGATTTCCTAGAGGTGAAGAAGCCGAAGGAAGTGATTTTTGCGAGGGGGTTGGGGGAGCCTTCCTTTCTCAAAAAAGGGGGGGCGTGGAGATGCAGGCGCCCAGATTCCAGTTGGTATTGCTCGGAGCCGGGGGAGGGGAAGCGGGCGGGGGCAGCGGGAGAGGAAGAGGAGGGGAGGAGGGGAGAGTAAGAAAAATGGGTATTAATCACCGCGACAGGGGCAGGGCGGGGACAGCACAGGTTGCCTGGTCTGGATTTGGGTCTCACACCCAGAAGTGTGCTACACACACACACACACACACACGCCCCTACCTCTCACACACGGGTGGTGGTGGGAGGAGAAACCCGCGAAGCCAGGGAAGCTGCTTCTGCTCCCAGTGTGTGCACGCGTGTGCCCTCTTTCTCCACACCCCCACCCCTTTCCACCCCCAAACCCCTTCACCCCCTCACTCCTATTGCTAGGACTCTGGCAGAGGCAGCTTCCCACGTCATGTGCCGGGGAAGTGGGGTAGAAAGGGGGGAAAGCCTTAACCCGTGCCCGTGGCGCCTCCTCCTGGCCGCAGTGGGGAACAGCAGGGAGGGAGGGCCTGGGGTGCCGGGAGCGAGGCAGAGCCCCCAGGTGGGCGGCCGCGCTGGGTGCGGACAGTGTCTCTGAGGTGGAGCTGCAGTGCCAAACTGAAGACCTTTGCTTCATTTTCCTTAAATCAGTGTGCTTCGTCCCTGCATTCTGTGTGCTGGGCACAGACGAAGAATGGGTTCTTGCCTTCAAGCAGCTTAAGATCTATTGTGAGCAAAGCAGGCTGACCAATAATAATAACACGGTAGAAAATAAGCTAAAATAAAGATAACTAAAGGTTCTATCATACAATATAAGCTATACTTGTGCTTTTTTCGACTAGTATGATGCTTTGAGGAGTTTGAATTTTTTTTAAAGTGGACTTTGTTATTTAAAGATCTTGACAAGATGCTGAGACACGGGACCCCCCCCCAATAGGGAACTAGATTTAATAGCGTTCACACACACACACCTTCTAAAGGACAAACAGCCACATGCTTCTTTCTCTTTTACTGTTTTATATTTTACCAGCGCTTATCATCACCCATAAGGTATTTATTTTTAATACTAATATTGTCATATGTGCATCATTTTTATTTTCATCCATTTTCTTCTCAAAGATCCAGAAGATGAAAGTACAGCATTTTCATAGTGGTTGTGTCATGGGCTTCTCATCAACAGTCTTGAGAAGCAGCTACACAAACACCCAGGAAACAATGGTGTGTAAAGTGGTGACACCTAGGAGCTTGGCGCTTTGTGGTCTGCGAAGGGCATCAGATACTGTGCTGTCCTTAGATCACACAGCACCCATAATGCATCTGAACACATCATTTTACATTTCTTAGTTATTGGTAGGCTTATTCTTGGAATCCAAGATTTTTAAGACAGACACAAACACTTATCATTATAAAAACAGTGTGTCCACAAGCAATTTATTCTTCTTCTATAAAAGCACCTCTGTTTTCCTAAGATATGCCCGGGCTGCTCCTTTACCCCTTGAAGAACTGGGTAAGCACTCTACTATTGCTGTGCCTCTCCATACACAGCGGCCAGCTCACACCCTTCTGTGTGTGGATTTCCAATCCAATCATCAGAACACAGATTTCAGGAGGAGAAGAATTAGGGATCCAAGGGGCTCTTCTGAAAGCCTCTTCTCTGGGTCTTCCAGAAATGGCCTTTACCTTCAAAATAAAATCCACATTTCCTGAAGCACTCTCTTGGGTTGATCTTTAACCCACATTTCTAAATTGTATTGTCTGTTTTTATATAGCCCACCTCTCCCAATTTCATTCACTGAAATTATGTAGTAGTCTTTTTTGTTTTCTGTTCTTTCTCTCTTTGTTCACTTTTGCAAGTGGAGGGGCAAAAATGAACTCTCACATTCCCGCTACTGAATCAAGTCCTGACTCCTCTCCGTACAGCTTTTAGTCAATCAAGACTGCATTGATTTCTTTAACAATTTCAAGGATTTTGAGTGAGGCACACCTCACTATGATATTTTCAACCTTCACTCTTTGCATAAAGAAATATATAAAAGAGTTTGCTTCAGCTGTCATCACTGTAACTGGCAGTACTTACGCGTGTTATCCAGGTATCAGACATACTAACCATACCCAATTGGACAATTGTTCTTTCATTGTGAAGAACTGGTCTAGCAAAAGAAAAAAGTAATGCTTCCTTAGCTCGTCGTGTTGAACCATGTAAACTATTGATAATTCAATTTTTGAGATTGCCAATCACATGAAATAAGCGTTACTGACCTATCACAAAAAGGCAATTTCATATCATTCAACTTGGAAATTATATTCTTACATACAAATTTCCTGTCTTCTCAAATCATTATTTATCTTCTTAGTGGAAGGGTTCGATAAATATTCATGTTTTCCTGATTATTGTTTGAAACCATTTTTGCCAAGCAGTTCTTCTGACTCTAGGATAGCTTATTCTAGGGACCATGAAGCTTGTGATGTGGAAAGTGACATTCTTCCTTCTTTATTTGTTCTTTGGGCCATTCAGTGAGACCAAGACCTCTCTACTTAGTTCTCCAACTCCCTGTCACTCACTCTTGCGCTTCTTACAAACCACCTTTGCATCCATGAGTTACAAACCTTTCCACAAAACTATTTCAAGGACCACCCAGATTCTCAAAATTCGAAACACCACCTCTTGATGTTACAAACAATACATTTCCTACCTCCACATCGGGCAGCACAGAAAGCAATGTTCTAACAAGGCAAGATGTTAGATTATAGTTCACAGCATTGTTTATTGAGGAAAAGCTCTTGCCTGAGGCTGCTAATGACACAGTTGGAAGTATTCTGCCAGCTCACTTGACCCAAAGAGAGGATCTCAGAAGATGCAAACATTTGCCCTTTGCCCAATCGACAGAGGCAAAATCCATGCCTGGCCCAGCAAAAATAAAAAATATTATCTGACAGCCTATTTCAGATCAAACACATAGCAAAGGTAGGCCTCAAGGTGGTACAATTTGGGATGTCTCATTAAGAAAAAGAATTTTTAAAATGGGTATGAAAGTAAATACTTAAAATGAGAAAATAAATCACAATAGTTTAAAAATTCATTACTACTTGCATAGGGAAAAATGTAAATACCAATTCTACTATTTAACTGCCTAACATTTCAATAATAATTTGCTTTTGAATGCTTTTAAACTATGTATCTTTGAGAACCTCTTTATATGTTGGTTTAAAGTATCATTTGCTAAGATGGTAATAAAAAGAATTTTTAAAAATCCAGTCTGTGCTTCAACGGGGCTCTTAAGGATGTTTTTGCCGTGTAGATGATTCAGAATAATGTCTCAGTTATGGGAGTCCATTGATAGTAATGCAATGTACATTTTTTTGGATTGTTGTTAAATTTGGGGAAATCCTTAGCAAATTTCTTTTATATATAAACTATAAAGTTACAGAAATTTCAAGTTTTCATGTACAGTGACTAACTTTAACTCCTGAATTGATAACACTCATTAAATAATTTCTATGTACTATCAATTTTATATTATCTTCATCAATATCAGTATTGTATATCAAATCAGTGAGACATTTAAATTTTTTTCTATGTATTCCTATGATTCACTCCTCTTCATTAGTTAAATTATCAAACAATTCAAGAGCTGTTTTATTACTTCCATTCAAAATTTCTCTTTTCTTTTTTAAAAAAAGTAGTTTTCCTATGATTTGGGGAAAAACTTTATAATTCACTCTTTGATATCAGATTAATTTCTATTGATGTCAGTGCCCATCTTTATCTCTTTTGTTTCATAGTACATTAATTTGCATCTGAGTTTTCTTTTGGTTTTTTAATAAATAAATATATATAGATAGTAAAAGAAAGACCTCTTCCACTATGTCCTAAGCAACCATCTGTAATTTCTCACTTGTTTTATTAAAATGTTTCAGAGTGTCTTTCTAGATTGCAGTGGCATGATCTTCATAAACTTTTTAAATAAACTTTTTCATCTCTGTGTTCAGATTTCTTTTTCTAACCTAAGAAAACTTTTAGAAACTTGGTGGATGGACTTACGTTGTGAGACTTGAGCAACTGTCTAAAGGGAAAAATTACACTTATCTTCTTTAAAGAAAATTCTAACATGCCACATGTGTTTAAATTACTGTATATGTGATCTGGAAGTCAAAAAGAACACTACAAAGTACCAGAGAGACCAACAACTTCAGGTAAGGAAATGACAGGTTTTTCTCCTAAGAATAAGAAAGAGACCCACAGAGCCCCAGTCCTGTGACAGTCTCTTTGGGTCACATCTGAAAGCCTTTCTTTCTCCAGGAAAGCTCACGATATTTTAACTCTATAAGAGAACAGACAACAAACTTCGTAGATGTATCTCACTAATCCCAAATTAAAATATTTCCAATTCTACATCCACTTTGATTCAAAACTTCTTCTCAAAAATGTTCACCACCACTCAGACAATATTCAGTGAAAGATACAATGCTCTCAAATGATTGCAATTAAAATATGGTACTTGTACAAATTTTGCTAAAACATTTGTACACATTATTAGCCCCTCTGGTGCCACCTTAGAAGGAGCCCCCAGTTAGGGGCTGTGACCCTGAAGCCACATTCTTCAAAGTCAATCTGCCTCAGCTCTTCATCTAATGTAAAGCAGGCTTTGGGCTTCTACAGAAAATATTCGAATGATTTTTATCTTTGAAAAACTAATTCATTAAAGACTCAGTTGACAACCTGCATATTAATGCCTTCTGCTAAACCCTATTCATCTTTTTTTGCTTGCAATTCTTGGAGTGTACAGGAAACATAGGCAGAGCATGCAATTTTAATACCTCTCACAAGCATACTAAGATCCTGCCTCCAC